TAAGGTCAAATGAGTGAGCAAGTGGTGGTTTTTATTATTTGCTTCTTGTGTAATGGGCAAGAAATTTTTTAAAATTTAAATTCAATTTAGTTAACATATAGTGTATTTTTAGTTTCAGGGATAGAATTTAGTGATTCATCAGCTGCATATAACACCCAGTGCTCATTACATCATGTACCCTCCTTAATGCCCATCACCCAGTTACCCCATCCCCCACCCACCTCCCCTCGAGCAACCCTCAGTTTGTCCCTAGAGTTAAGATTCTTTTATGGTTTGCCTCCTTCTCTGTTTTTATTTTATTTTTCCTTCCCTTCAATGGGCAACAAGTTTTAAATTATTCCAAGAGAAATCTGCCTTTAAAGAATGTTTCAAAATAACATTTATTTTCTTTTTTTTTTAAGATTTTATTTATTTATTTATTTGAGAGAGAGAGAGAGACAGCGAGAGAGGGAACACAAGCAGGGGGAGTGGGAGAAGTAGGCTTCCCGTGGAGTAGGGAGTCCAATGTGGGGCTTGATCCTAGGACCCTGGGATCATGACCTGAGCCGAAGGCAGACGCTTAACGACTGAGCCACCCAGGCGCCCCTCAAAATAACATTTCTTAAATTAAAAATGTGAATGCTTTATCTATCTTGTATGGGGTGATGGAAATTAAAACAAAAACAAAAACAAAAACAAAAACCCAGGGATGCCTGTGTGGCTCAGTCGGTTAAGCGTCTGCCTTTGGCTCAGGTCATGATCCCAGGGTCCTGGGATCGAGCCCCGCATCGGGCTCCCTGCTCCACGGGAAGCCTGCTTCTCCCTCTCCCACTCCCCCCTGCTTGTGTTCCCTCTCTCGCTGTCTCTCTCTCTCTCTCTCTCTGTCTCTGTCTCTCTGACAAATAAATAAATAAAATCTTAAAAAAAAAAAAACCCAAATCCAAATCAATTAGTGGAGCCTAATTTTAATAAAACTTCTTTTTTAAAAAAAGATTTATTTATTTATTTGAGAGACAGAGAGAACACAAGCAGGGGCAGAGGGAGAAGCAGGCCTCCCACTGAGCAGGGAGCCCAATGCGGGGCTCGATCCCAGGACCCCGGGATCATGGCCTGAGCCGAAGGCAGACGTTTAACCCACTGAGCCACCCAGATGCCTCAAAACTTCTTTTTTTAATAAATTTTCTTTTTTAAAAAAATCATTTTTCCTATTTATTGTATTGTTTGGTAACTTAACAAGAGGTAATTTTTCAGTTGAGAGACTTGAAAAACATCTGGAGATTTTTTTTTCGTGTTTAGATCAAATAAATTCTCAGTTTAATATCCTGTTAGAGCTTTGTAGATATTGTTTCTTTCTTTTCGGTTTATCAGATGACAAATGCCTGATACAAGCCTTATGCCACACAAAGATCGCTATGTGATGTCCGTGCATCCAAAACATGTTGAGATGTTACAACCTGAAGAAAGCAACGGACCTCTCCCCTTTCAGGTTAGCTGGCAATGATAGGAAAGTTAAAGAAGATATAAAAACAAGAATGGACCTGGTTAAAGAACAGATGATGAGCAGAAAAAAAGAAAAAAGCAAATCTTTCCATGTAAAGGAAATTCTTGTTAAATCATTGAAGGGATGCGTGGAAAGCTGTGGGCTTCTCTGGGACAGACTTTGAGATAACACAAAAAGGAGACTCTGGATTAAATCAAATCTCCTAATGGCTTTTTGGTAGCGACTAGGAAATATACAATTGAATCACGTGATTCAAGAGCAACGAGATGGTACTTTTACAAAGATGACTGAGATCTGATGTGTTATCAGAAAAAAACAGGATAGCTGCGGAAGGTCATGGGCCCAACTGGTCCCAAGACGGTTCTGGGAATTATTGGGAAGTAGACATTCTCTTTCCATAGGTAGTTGAAAGTGGTAGGATATACAGGTATCTCTTGATTTTGGAAAGTTTGCATTCGGCCACTTCACTTTTATGAAAGACCTACATTAACACCTGTTTCAAAAGAAATCTGAGGGGCGCCTGGGTGGCTCAGTCATTAAGCGTCTGCCTTCGGCTCAGGTCGTGATCCCAGGGTCCTGGGATCGAGCCCCGCATCGGGCTCCCTGCTCAGCGGGGAGTCTGCTTCTCTCTCTCCCTCTCCCCCTGCTTGTGTTCCCTCTCTCGCTGTGTCTCTCTCTGTCAAATAAATAAATAAAAATCTTTAAAAAAAAAAAAAAAGAAATCTGAAGAGGATTTTCACTTTTACGATAAAAGGTGAAGGCTAAAATAGCATTCAGAGTTTGTTTTGCAATGAGTTGTGATAGATGTGATAGAAGCCACTCTCCCCCAGCAGTGAGAACAGCCCTGCCAAGCGCCTTCCCAGAGAACTAGGCTTAGCATCTCAGTAAGCAAGCCTCCGTAGCTTTGAACTGTGTCTGTGAGCATCTCTGCTTTATCTCCATTTATAATGTGCATCCATCAGCAAGATGTGTCCAAAGGTATCAGAAAAGCCTAAGAGAGGCTACTTTGTTTTTTGTTTTTTAAAAGATTTTATTTATTTATCTGAGAGAGAGAGAGATAGCAAGAGAGAGCACAAGCAGCAGGGGGTGGGGGGGGCGGTGTGATGGGGAGCAGGAGAGGGAGAAACAGACTCCCTGTTGAGCAGGGAGCCCCATGGGGGACTCGATTCCAGGACCCCTGGATCATGACCTGAGCCTAAGACAGATGCTTAACTGACTGAGCCACCCAGGAGCCCCAGGGCTACTTTTGGGGTCTAGGAATGCTCAAAAATTTTTCTGCATGGATGAATGGTAATGGCTTCTTCCCTTGATGGCATTCCAGCTTACCAAATATTTCAAAGGAACACTCTACTTTCAGATATCAGGGGAAACCTGTATGTGAAATTGTGAGCCTCCCTATGGAGAAAGTATACATGACAATGAAGATAACAATAGAGGAAAGCAGAGCAGAGAAATGGAGAGGGACTGAGTCCTCATTTTAATTTGGGAGCCAGCCACACCTGGAGATTTTTCATTTTCATGAGTCAGTAAATTCCCTTTTTGGCCTTAAACCAATGGGAGTTAGAGTTTCTGGCACTTCACTTGAAATAATTCTAATTCTAATTTAAAAAAATTTCCAGAAGCAGAATTGTATTATCAGATTGCTTTCCTCAGAAGCTGTATCAAATCCTTCACCACCATCAGGGGGGTTCGAGTGTTTCTTCCATTGCATTTCAGCATTAAATGTTGTTACTTTGAGACTCTTTGTCTATTTTAATTTTAATTTTTGTGTTTATGTAACTACTAGTGAAATAAAACTTTTTTTAAAGATTTTATTTATTTATTCATGAGAAACAGAGAGAGAGAGAGAGAGGCAGAGGGAGAAGCAGGCTCCCCAAGGAGCAGGGAACCCAATGCGGGACTCGATCCCAGGACCCTGGGATCATGACCTGAGCCAAAGACAGACACTTAACCATCTGAGCCACCCAGGTGCCCAAATAAAATGTTTTCTATCCAATAAATAGCATATACTTTTTCTATTGTAAATTGTGTCTTTTGCCTGTTTTCCCTATCAACCTATGGGCTGAAGATTGATTAAAGTGGGATTTTGACACTTGGGGAATTTATTTTTCCTCTGGATTTGATACTTTAAAAAATAACATATTTTTTCTGATTATAAAATACTATTATGGCAGAAATTCAGGAACGTGGTAAAAATTTTTTTAAAAAGAGAAAAAACTAAAAATCACTTTTTAAAAAAGATTTATTTATTTAAGGGGTGCCTGGGTGGCTCAGTCAGTTAAGTGCCTGCCTTCACTCAGGTCATGATCCCAGGGTCCTGGGATTGAGCCCAGCATCTGGCTCCCTGCTTAGAGGGGAGTCTGCATCTCCCTCTCCCTCTCCTCTCTCTCTTTCTCTCTCTCTCTCAAATAAATAAATATTTAAAAGTAAAAAATAAAAAGATTTATTTGAGAGAGAGAGAAAAAACGTGCACAAGCACAAGAGCGGGGGGTGGGGGTAGGGCAGAGAGAGAGAGAGAATCTCAAGCAGACTCCCCACTGAGCACAGAGCCCAATTGGGAGGGGGTGCCTGGATCTCAGGACCCTGAGATCATGATCTGAGCCAAAATCAAGAGTCGGATACTTAACTGACAAAGTCACCCAGGCACCCCTAAAAATCAGTTTTAATAATACCACGCAGATATACTATATGTTGGAGAAATTCCCTCTAAATTTATATATATTTATATATTTACTAGAATATAAATGTGTGTGTGTATTTATAGCTTTTTAACTTGTTTTATCACTTAGGATTTTATCACAGGAATTTCTCCCTTATTATTCCTCTAAATAGGTCTTGGGACTCTTTTTGGAACCTGAGAAAATCATGGACTCACTTTTCAGGAAAAAAAAATGTACATATTCAGAAAAGTTGATACCTCATTTCAGGAGGTTCTCAGATTCACCAATGGAGCCCGGATTAACAACTCTGATTATAAACATGATACTTAGCATCTGCATAGCAGTCTCCTGTGTTAGTGCATTCATTTATTTAACCACTCCACATCAGGCTTCGGAGAGCAGACTTTGGGATCCAAAAGTGTGGGTTCCAACCCTGGCTCTCTTCCTGCGAGGAAATGACTTGCAAATTTCTAACCCCATTAAGCCTATTGTAAGAGTTAAAGGAGATGGTCCATGTAAAGGCTTAGAAGATTCTCTGTATATAGTAAACACTCAATGTAGCTCTCACTTAAAAAAAAAAATTGGGGGGCGCCTGGGTGGCTCAGTCCTTAAGCGTTAAACGTCTGCCTTTGGCTCAGGTCATGATCCCAGGGTTCTGGGATCGAGCCCCGCATAGGGCTCCCTGCTCGGTGGGGAGCCTGCTTCTCCTCTCCCTCCACCTCCCACTCCCCCTGTTTGTACTCTCTCTCTGTCAAATAAATAAATAAAATCTTTTTTAAAAATGTTCTTATTGTTTCTATATATATTTTAAAGATTTTATTTATTTATTTGAGAGAGAGAGAGAGAGCAAGGAGCCTGATGCGGGGCTCGATCCCAGGACTCTGAGACCATGACCTGAGCTGAAGGCAGATGCTTAACCGAATGAGCCACCCAGGCACCCTATAGTTAACCCTTTAATCTACGTGGAATTATTTTTGGTGTATGGTGTGCAACAGGGTTCTAAACTTATTCTCGCCTCCCCCCAACCCCCACGGCATATTTTCCGAGTGCTATGTTGCTGCCTCTCCCTTCTATGTATTCTCTCTCCTCTGGGTGGGCCACACCCTCCTTGGTGGCAGCAAGAGTAAAAGGAAGATAATTGAGGAGGCTAAGTGACCCCTGCCAGTACCACACCTGGATTATGAGCACTGTTTTCTACTCCTGGGGTTTTCTCCTAAATAGTGAAGGAGATCAGAAGGACGAGGGGAGGCAGGAACATCTGCTTTCTTTACATTGAGAACAACCACATCAGCCGGGAGATGACAGGTCTTCAGGCCCCAAGAAGCCCCCCAAACTGCAGATTTACTGTGAGTTTGCTGATTTACAAAACAGGTCTATCCCTTTCTGCTTTTTGCTCTTTGCCCATTGTATAAATCACCTCCCCAATCCCTCCCCAAACCAAGAGAGGAACTAGTTGGATGAGTTGGTCTGCCTCTAATTACTGCTTATTGAATTTGATTGTGGATTTTAATATCATTAACACGAGGAGGGGGCAAACAGGGGCAATGCCTGCAGAGTGAGGCTTCAGCTCACCCTCTGCCATCTGTGTTCTTGGCTTATCTCATCCTGTGGTTTGAAGAATGTAAAGGCTCAGCAGGGACTCCTTATCTTGTCTGTTTCTCCCTGTCCCCCCTGGATATACCTCTCTAATGAAAGTATTTGGGTAGCATGTTTCACTGTATATCTGATTATCTTTGTTTTGCTTATGTAAGCCTAAATGAAAACTTAGATTATCACATCCCACTTCCTTCAAATCTCAATAGACGTCACTGCATGGTTTTCTTGGGTTTATGGCTTTGGGAAAGTATGAAGGCACATTATTTTCCTAAATGCTTGCGGCAGCTCTGCCCCCATGGAATTTATGGTCCAATGGAGAAAAAAAATAAATTATTTGTGATTATGAATGCAATATGCTGTGAATTTAATCTTATTTTTCGTATTCTGTCATTTTCATGAGATTTGGGGAGGAGAAAAGATAAACACAGGAGCTCAGTCCACCACTGGGAAATGGAAGTCACACATTCTCCTCTAGTGTCAGAAAAGGGGGGGGGGAAGGATAAGTACCCAGGAGGAAGAATTCACACTAGGGTCTTGGCTCCTCTCAAACTAACCCTGAGCTAAGACTTCTGGCTAGAAAATCCTCCTGTTGGCTTTCACAACTCAACAGCTATGGTTTCAAGACAGATGGATGCCTTCTCAAATGGCTCCACCCCCTAGGTATGCAGAGAGGTCTCTCTCCTTTGTAGATGCTTCTGGTGACTGACTGAAAGTTGTTGAGTCCACAGTGCCGTGAACTCTGAATCTGATTTGTTTGGGGATAAACCTGTCTGAAGCAGGGAATCCCACCACTTTATTTCTTTTCGGTCCTTTAATCCTAATGCTGGGGCTGTACTCATAACACTTCATAAATTTATGGCCGCTGAGAAACATCGTCTCCCCATCTGCCAATAGTTTCCAAAACTCATTTTTCACGGAGGCTTTTCTTAGCAGAGCTCTTCACTGTACTCTCTAACGACGTATCACGGTGCACATTCATCCAGGTACTGCTGTGGGTTTGGCTGATGAGACTGAGATTTCCCTGAGCCTCCGATTCCTCATGTGGAAGAACTGAGTTAACAGCATCTCTCAAGGCTCCGCTGTGAGAATCAAATGGAATAATGCACACGCACCTGCCAAGCCCACCGGTATTACTACTTTCTACTTTAAGTCTGAACATATCTCATTTAAAAACTGTTAGCAAATTATTTATTTTACTTAAAAATTTTTTAAAAAAGAATTTAAAAAAAACCCTGTTAGCAAATTAAAGCCAGATATTGTGCCTTGCTACCAGAGAACCGCTCATAGTAAGTCAGGGACCCCCTCCCCATGCTCAGGGTTGCAGGCTATTTGAACAGTGTGTGTACTTTTTGTGCGTGCCTAGATAAGCTCGCTCGCTCGCTCTCCTCCCCACCCCCACCCCCCGTGTCTGGGTCTCCAGATTTCATTATGAAAGAGGCAGAGCCCATCAGAGAACTTGATCGGCAGCCAGGCACGGTTTTTCTTCTTCTCGTCCTTTGTCAGGTCTTTGTTCCGCCCCTGGCTACACTCTCACAGAGCCACTCACTGGTGATTAAAAGGAGGGACCGGCGGCGGGGCGGGGCCATTGCCTTCACCCCGGGGGGCTGCGCTCTAAGCGCCGCCGGCCGAGGACCCCACCCCCGCCCCCCACGCCGCACCCGACGCCGCGGAGACGTCAGCGCCGCGCAGCCCGGGCTGCGGGCCGAGCCTCGGCTGCTGCTGCGCACCGACGGGCGGGCGGACGGCGGCGGCGGCGGCGACCGCAGGACCCGCGGAGAGACGCGCGGGGCCCGGGAACCGCAGACCCGCAGCCTCCCGCCCCAGCGCCATGGACGGCCCCGACAACGCGACGCTGCTCCTCGCCCCGTCCTCGCTGCAGCCGGACAGCTCCTCGCTGTCGCCCAGTGCCAGCAGCCTGCGCCCCGGCTCGGACCTGCCCGTCGCCCCCAGCTCCAGCGCCGGCCCCGGGCTCAGTCTCGCGCCCAGTCCCGGCGTCGGTTTCAGCCCCGGCCCCACGCCCACCTCGGAGCCGGCGGCGGGCGGCGCGGCCAGCCTGGGCCCGTCCCTGCTCCCCCACCCCTGGGCGCACCCCCAGACCCCGTTCTGGGACACGCCGCTGAGCCACGGGCTGAACGTGTTCGTGGGCGCCGCCCTGTGCATCACCATGCTGGGCCTGGGCTGCACGGTGGACGTGAACCGCTTCGGGGAGCACGTCCGCCGGCCCGTGGGCGCGCTGCTGGCCGCGCTCTGCCAGTTCGGCTTGCTGCCGCTGCTGGCCTTCCTGCTGGCCCTGGCCTTCTCGCTGAACGAGGTGGCCGCCGTGGCCGTGCTCCTGTGTGGCTGCTGTCCCGGCGGGAATCTCTCCAACCTCATGTCCCTGCTGGTGGACGGCGACATGAACCTCAGGTACGGAGCTGTCTGGTCCTTGGGCATCTCTCGCACCCCGAGCAGCCACGCTGAGCCGCGGGTTCGAGACGCGGCCGAGAGGAAGGAGAGGCGGTTGGAGAGAGCGCAGGAAGAGGTGACGCCCGGGCTTTCGAAGTCAAGGCAGATGGGAGGAGGGAGCGCTGTAGGGGGAAAGACCTGGACGGGCAGCTGCTCTGCCGGCCCTCCGACCATCTTCCCTGAGGGCTGGGCTGTCAGCGGAGGTCTCCGGCCTCTGGAAGACAAAGGGAACTGGGAAGCCTGAAGCTAGGTCTCGCCGGAAATGCAAAAGCAAAATAAGGCTCTCGGCCCCAATGAAGAAAGTGACCTCATATAGAGGACAATATAATTGAGTTCAGCCCAACAAGTCGTGTTGACATAGCTTTGCCATGTCTAACAGGGTGCTTTGGAGGACTAAAAAAGAAAGATGTTCCTTGCCCTCAGAATCATCCAGACAGACTGTAGCCAGCTCAGTAGGCTTTATAAAGCCGGGGCAACAGTTCTCAGATCCCCCCCGCCCCCAAATCTGGGGTTCCTGTTTCACTTGGGCTTAGAGGTGCTGTTCTCTTGGCAGTTCCCTGGATGAAGTGGGTTCTCCCCACACTTCAAGCTCCAGACTTGCAGTCTTTTTCTCCTCTACCCAATGTGCAAGAGAGAGGTTACCCAATGTGCAAAGGAGATTCTTGGCACAGAGCCCATTCTGAATTCTGTTCATTCCCTTTTCTGCAGCATCATCATGACCATCTCCTCTACACTTCTGGCCCTAATCTTGATGCCCCTGTGCCTGTGGATCTATAGCCGCGCTTGGATCAACACCCCCCTGGTGCAATTACTACCGCTGGGGGCGGTGACCCTGACTCTCTGCAGCACTCTCATCCCTATTGGCTTGGGGGTCTTCATTCGGTATAAATACAACCGGGTGGCGGACTACATTGTGAAGGTGAGGTCACTCTTCCTTTCATGTACTTAGTGTATTTAGAGAGTCCTTGGTCTCTGACCCCTGGCTGAAATGCTAAGAAGTTTGGGAAAGAGGGATAAGGAAGAAAACTTGGCAGCCCTTGCATGGATAAACTTGAAAAAAAAAGTTTGTGCCACAAAGATAACTTCTGTCTTTTGGCATTCCAAAAACTCATAGCTTTAATTAAGACAAAGCTTAATTAAAAACAGCATAAGAAAACTACTAGTATTCACAGGAGGAAATATATCACAGGGGAAAGAGATATCAGTGCCATTAATTGGCAACATATTTTCCACTAACAAATCTTGCATTATTAAGAATCAAAGCAGATGAAATAAAATTATATGAATTGAATTTGTCCAGTATTTTAGAAATGTATTACTATCTTTTTAAAAAGTGGAACTCTAGGGCGCCTGGGTGGCTCAGTTGGTTAAGCCACTGCCTTCGGCTCAGGTCATGATCCTGGAGTCCCGGGATCGAGTCCCGCATCGGGCTCCCTGCTTGGCAGGGAGTCTGCTTCTCCCTCTGACCCTCCTCCCTCTCATGCTCTCTCTCATTCTCTCTCTCGCAAATAAATAAAAAAAAATTAAAAAAAAAAAAAAAAAAAGTGGAACTCTAATTCTTAGAAACTCTGTAGACATTTCCTTTAAAATGTTTTATTAATTTTCTAAAAATAAGTTGACACTAATAAGACCAAAAGTAATTTAAAAATCACATTGAGGCAATAGAATACACAAAATACTGACTTTAAAGCACAAAATAAGATTGGGTCCCGGATAAATAATGCAGAATATATAACCATAAGTAAATCTGTGTGGTTTTCCTTCCCCATTGCAGTACTGCATATGGTTTCTAAAGCTAGTGAAAGGATGAGAAGTCCTATTATTTTGTGTACTATTTCCAGTATTGCTTTATTAAAAAAAACAACTGGTGCTTTTTGAGAAGTAGAGATTTTGTGAAGTTGACTGGAGAAAAAATTAAATATTTGTCAACTGAGCTTTCTTTGAAAACTCAAAAATAGTAAATAAGAGTAAACCATGAATAGGACTCTCATTTTAGGAAGTTACTCAAAATACATAAGTAATTACTGTTAATGCACAGGCAAATTCATTTAGACAAGTGAAAAGAGTTTCTCCAATGTTTCAATTATGTAGATTTAAGAAGATATAATCTTTTGTGTTTTATTTATATTAATTAAATAAGTTAATTTTAAATAAATAATAGATGAATCTAAAACCTGATTATTCAGAGAAGCTACCTTTTATTAATATGAAAAATAAAGGGTTCTTTTATACACATATATCCAGTCTTGAGTAAAAAAATTGTGCTCTATAATAAACATATATTGGGGCACCTGGGTGGCTCAGTCATTAAGCGGCTGCCTTCGGCTCAGGTCATGATCCCAGGGTCCTGGGATCGAGTCCCGCATCGGGCTCCCTGCTCAGCGGGAAGCCTGCTTCTCCCTCTCCCACTCCCCTTGCTTGTGTTCCCTCTCTCACTGTCTCTCTCTCTGTCAAATAAGTAAATAAATAAATCTTTAAAATATATATATAATAAACATATTTTGAATATAATAAATTTATATATATATGTAAATATACATATATTTTATATATTACATATATAGTATACCTACAAATAATCTTGAAATACATTAAGAACACATTAAGCTTAATCATGAAGCTGATACTATTAAGCTAATGCTATAAAACCTAGGAATTCTAGGGCGCCTGGGTGGCTCAGTCATTAGGCGTCTGCCTTCGGCTCAGGTCATGATCCCAGGGTCCTGGGATGGAGCCCCGCATCGGGCTCCCTGCTCGGCGGGAAGCCTGCTTCTCCCTCTTCCACTCCCCCTGCTTGTGTTCCCTCTCTCGCTGTGTCTCTGTCAAATACATAAAATCTTTAAAAAAAACCAAAAAAACACCTAGGAATTCTAAGAGAAAGTCAATCAAATAAGCTATTCCCATGCTAAAAACAGATAAATGTATTTAAGTAATAGACAATTCGGTAAGATTGGCTCACTTTGAATTTAAGGTGAACCTATTCCTACTCCTAACTCATAAAGTATGCTATATAACACTTTTACACTTTTGCAAACACTGTAAAATGATTCTTCAATGTCAGTGCTCACCCAAATGATTTAAAATAGTTCAAAAGAAATTTTGGAGCCAATATTTTTACAATGAAGAATCAGATTTCCTGTCAAAGCTTTTGATGTGGACACACATCTTTTTTTTTTTTTTTAAAGATTTTATTTATTTATTCATGAGAGACAGAGAGACAGAGGCAGAGCGAGAAGCAGGCTCCCCGCGGAGCAGGGAGCCCAATGCAGGACTTGATCCCAGGACCCTGGGATCATGACCTGAGCCGAAGGCAGACGCTTAACCGACTGAGCCACCCAGGCGTCCCAGTGGACACACATCTTAATATAAGAAAACCTCAGGGGCGCCTGGCTGGCTCAGTCAGTAGAGCCTGCAACTCTTAATATCTGGGTCATGAGTTCGAGCCCCACGTTGGGTGTAGAGTACTTAAAAAAAGTTTTGATTTATAATAGTTTGGTTTCTGCCTGTTGTACCTTTGTAGCTTGAGTACTTTATATAATAATTTCAGCACCCTCTAGCGTAGACTTTTTGTCCAGCCCAGATAAATTTTAAATAATTTTTAAAAGAGTATGAAGTATATGCCAATCCCATAGACTCCAAAGGGGTTTCCCCCAGATATCCAGCAAACCAGAAGCAACACTTAAACTGTTCTTCTGGATCTCTGGTTTCCTTCACAGACACCTCCCAACCCCCACCCCCATTAAAAAACAAAAACAAAAACTAGCTAACTACTAATCTGAAGGAGAACTAGGAGAGGAATTTTTAGGTTTCCACCTTACTATTTTCACAGCTTATCTTACTTGAATGAGTGAGATGTACCAGTCAGACATCAAGACGGTGCAGTGTCTTATACAAAGTCAGTTGTACTATATTTAAAATCCATCTATTATATGTAAGAATTTTTAGCATCATTAGAGATTTACAGGTGGGAGTTTTCTCATGAACAGATTGAAAAGGGGATGTTCAGAATTACAAAGAATTCCTCACTTCTTCTGTTTACATTTTTCACTTACATAATCTGAGTTGGTAATTGTTTCAATATTGCTATCAATTCTCTGAAATACAAAGTATTTTGAAGTTTGAAAATATCACATGTAAGGTTCATAAATTTTAATAGCTTTTTATATCACGTGTAAAGCCAGAACTAATTTCTTATGGAAAACATGGGGTCCTGTTCAGGGAAGGTAATGTTCATTTGCCCACTCTGTTCATCAGACCAGACCTGGTGTGTTGAGCTCAATTCTAACTGCTGTTTTTAAGAGGTACGCGCACAAATTAAACACATGTTCAGAACCATCAGGACTCCCACCACAGAGTTACATGAAAGTCTGGAGACATCTGCCTGAAGAAGAGTAGCCTTCCCCTCCTGTTTTTGTTTGTTTCTTTTGTTTTGTTTTAGAGAGAGAGAGAAAGAGAAGAAGAAGGGGTGGGCAGAGAGAGAGGGAGAACCCCAAGCAGGCACAATGCTCATTAAGGAGCCCATTGCCAAGCTTGATCCGTGAGATCATGACCTGAGCTAAAATCAAGAGTCGATGCTCAACCGACCAAGCCACCAGGCGCCCCTCCCCTCCTGTTTTTTACTTTTTATTTATTTTTTAAAGATTTTATTTATTCGAGAGAGAGCAAGAGAGGGAATGATGAGCAGGGGGGAGGGGCAGAGGGAGAAGCAGGCCTCCCCCCCCCGCCCCCCCCCCCCCCGAGCAAGGAGCCCAATGCGGGACTCGATCCCAGGACCCTGGACCATGACCTGAGCCAAAGGCAGACACCTAACCAACTGAGCCACCCAGGTGCCCTTCTGCTCCTGTTTTTTAAACAGGAGTCAAATAAATAAGTTAATTAAACAAACAAACAAGAGCCTGGTCTATGCTGCTCCTGAGCGTCTATCCAAGATAATGGCTAGTTGTTAGGGAAGGCAGATTGTCACTTGTCGTAAGGACAGGCCTCCAAACAATTAGAACTGTCCAACAAGGACCCGGACTCATCCTGAAGGCGGACCTACCCATCCTCAGAAGTACTTTGTCCAAGCCTGCTGTGGTAAAGGTCTCCACTGTGTGGGAGGTGAGCCTAGATGTGTCTCTTCTTGCAAGAGCCTCGGATTCGCTTGCCTGAATTCCGTATCAACTATCCTATTTTTGATGGTTGTCTGTTCATTTTCTATTACCAGGTTTCCCTGTGGTCTCTGCTAGTGACGCTGGTGGTCCTTTTCATAATGACTGGCACTATGTTAGGACCTGAACTGCTGTTGAGTATTCCTGCAAGTGTTTACATGATAGCAATTTTTATGCCTTTGGCAGGCTATGCCTCAGGCTACGGCTTAGCTACTCTCTTCCATCTTCCAGACAACTGCAAGAGGACCGTATGCCTGGAAACGGGTAGTCAGAATGTGCAGCTCTGTACTGCTATTCTGAAACTGGCCTTCCCACCGCAGCTCATCGGAAGTATGTACATGTTTCCCTTGCTTTATGCCCTTTTCCAGTCTGCAGAAGCAGGGCTTTTGGTTTTAATATATAAAGTGTATGGAAGGAAAATACCACACAAGCGAGATCCTCTAGATGAAGATGAAGATACAGATATTTCTTACAAGAAACTAAAAGAAGAGGAAATGGCAGACACTTCCTATGGCACAGTGAAAGCTGATAATTTAATTATGATGGAAACCACTCAGACTTCTCTCTGAACGTGAAGATACAGAGGCGCTTCCATCTTGCTGAAATATTACTTCATCTTTATGGTCTGTGGTAGTGAATATGGTTTACATAAAGGATAACAAATGGTTCACATTATCATACGTGTCACAATTATGATCTTCCCATTGTAAGGTTGCATTGGTGTATTAACCAAGTCTTTTCCCAAATTACAAATCGGTGTCATAATATAACTTGCACCTGGGACTGCTAGAGTAAAGCCAGAACATGTTAAATGTGCTCTTTGGTTTTTACCATTACCAATTTCTATGTTTCAAATATGTAAACTCCTAGAAAACAGGGTCTTGGAAATGTAGAATTCTGGTGCACTATCTTATATGAGTAAAAACAAGCTATTTTTTTTTGTAAAGCATAATTTGAAAGCAATTTGTAAAGCATAATTGAGTTTAATGTAATTGTAAAAAAACCAAGTGCTTGCTCAACTTAGGAATACCAGACAGTGTTGAATTTTGAGCTGTATTAAAAAAAAAAAAACCCAAAACAGGTCAACTAAGCAATGAAATACAGTATTTTATTGTCAAACCTGTATCAAGTCAACACAAAAAGTACATTAATGTGTATCTGATATCGATTAATAATGGACAACTAACATTCTTCCAGGGAACAAGGCATTTTCTTCTCAGTTGGGGACTGATTTGGTTTCTGCATTTATGTCGACACATCGCCAATCAGTTATCTTTTGGAGGGATAATTTGGTTAGGAGAATTTTAGTACTCTCCACCCCAAAAGACATCAATACCTCGTGGTACTCGCTTGAGGTGGGGGGTGGAGGGGAGGGGAGGACGTCCTCCAGGGGAGAAAACAATTAGCCTAGATACGGATGCCTTCGAGTGCTTTCCCTGTGGAGTTCCCGAAAGGGTACAAGGGGCGGACTTTTCAGAGCAGTTCTGAAATAATGAAACTAGAACCTGAGATCATAGGTAACAGACCCAAAGCAGTTCCCCCAAACCTGTGCATTTTTGCTCACTAGCCAGACAGAGGCACCCAGCTTCGCCTCAGCTTCCCGGGCGGCGCAGACACCTGGAATCATCAAGGCCCGGGGGCCACCTGGCTCGGCTAATCCCGGTGATTGCGCTCTTCCGCTGGTAGCCTCTTCACCTCCGGCGGGCTCACGCACAAGTCAGTTCCTGCGGCACAGAGAAAGCAGTCCTTCCCCATCACCGAAGGCTGTTTGTGCCGACCTCCGGGCGTGGAAAATTTCCCCACCGAGGTGGTCAGGGACAGGCCGCCTAGGCGGGGGCTCCGGGACGCGAGCCGGCGACGGGCAGGCTGCGGGGGGCCGCGCAGCGAGGGGAGCGGCGTGGCGGGGGGGGGGTCGGCGGCCGGCTGCCTCCGCTGGGCTGCCTATTTAGGGCAGGGCGGCTTCGGGAGCGGCCCGGGCTGCGCTTATGGCTGCCCTGGGGGACGAGGTGCTGGACGGTTACATGTACCCGGCGTGCGTCCCCTACTCGTACCCGTACCCCTACCCGCCGGCCGCCAAGAGCAAGGGCGCGGCGGGCGCGGCGGGCGCGGCGGGCGGGGGCGGCTGGCGGCACCGGGGCGGGGGCTACGCTCCCGCGTCGTCCTCCTCGTCGTCGTCCTCTGCCGGGGCGGCCGCGGCCTCCTTCCCGGGCTGCGGGCCGCTGACGGCCGCCGAGTACTTTGACAGCTACCAGCGGGCGCAGCTCATGGCCCTCCTGTCGCAGGTGAGCCCGGGCCTGGGCGCGCGGCCCCACAGGGCCGGCAGCCGGGACGTGGCGGTGCAGGTGAACCCGCGCCGCGACGCCTCGGTGCAGTGCTCGCTGGGGCGGCGCACGCTGCTGCGCGGGGCCCGCGACTCCGCTCCCCCGGCCGGCCCTGGCCTCGAGGGTGCGGGCGGCGGCGGCTCGGCGTCCCCGCAGCCGGCGCGCCGGGGCCCGGAGCAGGGCAGCCCCCCGGGCGGCGCCCCGCGGCCCGTGCGCTTCCCGCGCACCGTCGCCGTGTACTCGCCCGTGGCCTCCCGCCGCCTCACCACCTTCCCGGAAGGGGCCGCCAGCGCGGCTGGGGGGCAGAGGCCCGCGGCGCCGGAGGGCGAGCGGAGGCCGGCGCCTCCGAGGCCCCGGGGCCCCGAGGAGGGCGAGGGGTCGGCGAGGAAGGCGCCGCAACGGCCGCGGCCCGAAGAGGACGGAGGGGACGAAGACGAGGCCCAGGCCGCGGTGCGGACGAGCTGGGAGCCGCCGGCCGCCGGGGCAGGGGAAGCGGCCCGGCGGCGCGCGCCCAGGAGTCCGGAGCAGCCCCCGCCGGTGGGGCGGGCCCAGGACGCCGCGGGCGCGAGGTCGGCGCCCCGGAGCCCCGAGCAGGCCAAGGAGCGGCCGCGCTTCCAGGTGAGGCCCGGGCGGCCACGGGCGCGTGGTCTCCTCCCGCCCCTCGCCCTCGCCCCTCGCCCCTGGCCCTCGGCCCTCGGCCCTCGCCCCCCGCCCTCGGCCCTCGCCCCCCGCCCTCGCCCCTCGCCTCTCGCCCTCGCCCCTCGCCCTCGCCCGTGGCCGCGCGCCAGCCGTGGAGCGCCGGCTCCCTTGGGGGCGGGCCACGGCTGGGTGCCTTTTCGCAGCCGCTGACCGCGGCAGGGGAGCGGCCTTTCCCCCCGCAGAATTCAACGAGCGCAGCCTGCTTGTTGGCGGCGGTTGTAAAACGCGCCCCACAGGTTGGCGAGAGACGCCCTCGTACTCCTCCTATTCCGAGCGCATTGACTGTTTAAAAAACAACAACCCTGACCGTGGACGCGGAGTCGGGTGTTGACTCCTCATCTGGACGGTCTAGGTGGGGTGCTCAGCAGGACATCCTAAGGGGAACTTGGTGGCAGGAGAGTCGTTTCCTGAGGACCACACTCACCTCTCTGAATTCAGTGTGGCAAAAAGCCCTAACCGTCAACTACTGGGGTCCTGGTCAGCTCTCCCCTGATTTTTTTTTATTTTTTTAAAGATTTTATTTATTTATTGGAGAGCGAGCGAGAGAGAAACAGCATGAGAGAGGAGAGGGTCAGAGGGAGAAGCAGGCTCCCCGCTGAGCCGGGAGCCCGATGTGGGACTCGATCCCAGGACCCTGGAATCATGACCTGAGCCGAAGGCAGTCGCTTAACCAACTGAGCCACCCAGGCGCCCTCTCCCCTGATTCTTGCCCGAACTTCCCAAGCTCCTCCTGGAAGCTAGAGCTCTTGACGTGCCTCCCTTGGGATCTTTTCTTGCTCCTAGAAAGTACCCTTATTCGGGACCTCAGCGTTGCTAAAGCTCTCGGGCCACTGTGTCCGCTGCCTGAGCGGGGCAGGCGTGGGGACCAGCTCCCACTGGCTGACCCTAAAGGGCTGGTAGTGCGCGCGGGGAGCAGTGGTAACGCGGAGAAGTGGATAAGGCCGAGGCAGGTAGTGCGAGCACTGGAGGCCTCCTTTGGGGTCTCTCGCACAGTCAGCCCACGGCTGTTGGGAGCAGGGGAGGAGAGGAGGAGGGAGTCAAGTTGGACAGAAGCTGTGTGTAATTTAAACCTTGGGTAATCTTGCCTCCTAACTTTCCTGGACCAATGTTTGCTCACCTATGAAATTGCTCTAGAATTGGCAGGAACTTTGGAGAGCACTTAAAGGCCTAACTCCAAACATCTGTTTCTCACGGGGAGGGGGAGACGAGCAGCTCAAGAATAAGACAGTACTACTTTAGTTCATGTTAAATACGAATTCTGGTTTATCCGCAATTTAGATTCCTAGCACTGTTGGAAATTGAAGAACCAAGCGGATCTGGAACATGAACTTTTTAGGCTCCTGCTTGCTTGTGTGCTTGATTAAACCATTAGGTCACCTAATTACTACATTATAGAGACTAATGGGCAAACCTTGAGCCCACTTTACTCCATGATCTGGAATGAGGTTGCCAATTTTAAGTAGCAAGTCGGTCCTTCCCAGCTTGTGAAATGAAGGCTAATTTAAATATCCTGTGAGTTAAATGCTGGTGTCTTTCTCTTCAGTTCTTAGAGCAGAAGTATGGCTACTATCACTGCAAGGACTGCAACATCCGATGGGAAAGTGCCTACGTGTGGTGTGTGCAGGGCACCAACAAGGTAAGAAACCCCGCGGAATCGGCATCTTTTTGACATTGGTGTCGAGAGGGTTTTGCTTCACGTTTCCTCTCTCCTCACAGGTTTACTTCAAGCAGTTTTGCAGAACTTGTCAGAAGTCTTATAACCCTTACCGAGTGGAGGATATCACCTGTCAAGTAAATCAAATACTCACACTTTGTGTCTGAACTGGGTAGCTGGGAGAGGGGTTTGGTGGAGCTTCTTGAATGTATCCTGAGAGAGGCTAGGTTCCCAGTGACCCTAGGTTTTGACTGCTTTTCAGTGGGGATTGTGGAGGTAATACTCAACCAGGGAACTGGGCCTTGGGGGTCTTGTTTCCTTCTGTCCTTGCAAGTCTTGGTTATGTTAACCTCTTTAGACGCTGTCCCTTCTCCGCAACATGGAAGAATGTTTGCCTTACCTGGTACTCCGTCTAGTGTAGGAAAGCAGATCAAAACCTGGAATACCTTTCTGCTGTCATGAAGCTGCCTGTTGTGCCCAAATGCTGTTTGGACGTACGCCGTACGCCGCTGAGCATACTCAGCATAAGCATGGGGTTTGAAAGTTTCAGTCCCGCCTGAGTGCTCGCGAAGGGAGGATGATTTGTTTCAGAGTAGATTTAAGCTGCCCAGTTTTATGGCTAATGATGACCTTGCTGGTTTAACTAAGCACTGCACTGTGGGAAGCGGGATAGATAATCTAAGGAAAGAGGTGACTAAACTTTTTTTTTTAAAGAGCTAAATGGTCCGTAGGTCTTCTTAAAGATTTTATTTGCGAGCGAGCGAGAGAGCGCAAGCACAGGCCAGCTGGAGAGGCAGAGGGAGCCCGACGCGGGGCTTGATCCCAGCCCCTGAGCTCATGACCTGTTAGCACACGTGTCGGAACCTGATGTGTCAGTCGACAACAGCCTAATCCATGCACGTCCCTCCAGCTGGACGTTGGAAGCCTTCCACGCTAGGGTAGGAAGAGAGCCCCCAAGTATGGCAAACGGTTTAGGCTCCCTTAGATGAGGGCAGAGTAGGGTGAGGCCCTAAAGTAGGATGCCTCCAACGCTGTGCTCCTGGCTCAGGGGTTTCTGCTTTGCTTTTGGTGTCCGCTTCAGGTCACTGGCAGCAGGTGTGTGGGGGGAGGCAGGGTTAGCCCCGCTGCTAGGCCGCACCCACAGCTTGCACCTGGCAGCCTCACCCCTCGGCTTTCCTGGTCTGACTCCGCTCCCCGGCTGGTTTCTTCTCCACCCTCCAAGGGCAGAAAGATTTCCTCCTACCTGTGTTTCAAGAGAAACTTCCCACGTCTGAACTGAATCTTCTGCAACATGAGAGCATGACTAGCTGGTTCAGCACCCTCTATTCCTATCCTATCCTTGCTGGAAGGGCTGTGGATGGGACAAGATCAGCACAGGGCCTTGCGTAGAGTGCATTCGCGAAGTGTTTGAATGGACTAGAAAAAAAAAACTCTGAGGTTTGAGGAAGTCCCCACAGGCTTATCTTCTGTATGTGCTTCTCACTTTGGTTTTTCAGAGTTGTAAACAGACTAGATGCTCCTGCACTGTAAAACTCCGCCACGTTGACCCTAAAAGGCCCCATCGTCAAGATTTGTGTGGGAGATGCAAAGGCAAACGCCTGTCCTGTGACAGCACTTTCAGCTTCAAATATATCATTTAAATGAATGTTAAAAGAAACCCCAAGAACAATGGTCCTA